ATTTAAATTAAGTGGTGTATAAAATGTTTTTTTGCCACATGGGTATCTTTCCTTTCTCAATGAATGGTATATATTTGTAGTCAAATATTAGTGGCCAAACTGGTACATTTTCTCATATTCAGTGCATCCTTTGAACTGTTAGACTGCTCTGCAGAGTGGGGTATTTTGATCAGTGTGAAGAAGTGCTGATCCAGTTTTTTTTAGGAAGTTAACTTGATTCTGTTATTTATATTTCCTTGCACTGGATTTTACCATATTTTTGCTCCATTTTGCAGTTTTTGATTCCCCTAGGGCTTAAAGCATGATTAAGTTTCATACCTTGTTTCCAGTGGTGAAGTTTGTATTCTAGCACTAAATTCTCCAAAAACACCAGATTACAGGTTAGATTCATATCCACCTTACAAGCCATTATGTCTCCTTGCACTAGCTAATGTTAATGCAAGATATATCCCACCAGAAAAGGCAGGCACTTTTTCTTTTTAATGTGGCCCTTGTGAATTTTGCTGGAGGAACAATCAGCTAAGGGGATACATTTAATCAGCAACTCTGGGTGCACAGTCTCCTAAATCAGTGGTGCTTATTTGTGCTGCAGCAGTATCACTCTAGGCAGCTTTGTGCTGTCAAATACCCTTTAATAGGGTTGCCACCCTGGAAGATAAGCTATCACCTTCTTTGGCTGAATCTGGTCCTACAAATTGATGATGGTGATGGTAAACACAGCCAGAAAGCTTTAAAAACAACATTCTCATTCTCATGTAGCAGCATGTCTGTGTCTGTGGTATGAAGTAATGGAGAGTGTACCGATATTAAAACTGGCTCAACAGCTGAGCACATATACACAACTGATCCAAATGGTGAAAGAAAATCAGTCAAAATATTCCATTCAGAAAGCACACATCTCCATAAAAAAATCCTTGAAGAACAAAGCTGTATTTTCCTAAAACTTAATAAAATACCATCCATTAAAAAAAATACGACATGGTAAAGACAATTTTTTCTTTTAATGCAAAAAAACAACCACCCAACATTCAGAATTCTAATCCTAATTCACTTATAGGCTTGGCTGAATTTAATATTTACTTACATAAACTTGAGAGTTAAAAAAAATAAGAGGAGCTGAACTTTGCTGCTAAACTTATCGGCTACATCTAGACTGGCATGATTTTCCGCAAATGCTTTTAAAAGAAAAGTTTTCCGTTAAAACCATTTGCGGAAAAGAGCATCTAGATTGGCACGGAAGCTTTTCGGCAAAAAGTGCTTTTGCGGAAAAGCGTCCGTGCCAATCTAGACGCGCTTTTCTGCAAAAAAGCCCCGATTGCCATTTTCGCGATCGGGGCTTTTTTGCGCAAAACAAATCTGAGCTGTCTACACTGGCTCTTTTGCGCAAAAGGACTTTTGCCCGAATGGGAGCAGCATAGTATTTCCGCCAGAAGCACTGCTTTCAGACAGCAGGAAGTCAGTGTTCATGTGGAAATTCAAGTCGCCAGTGTAGATAGCTGGCAAGTTTTTCCGCAAAAGCAGTTGATTTTGCGGAAAAACTTGCCAGTCTAGACACAGCCATTGAGTCCACATTTCTGTGGGGGAGAAAAATGCAATTGTACTAATACCAAAATTAGATTTACAAAGTGACAAAGATAGATCTGCGTGCCTAGATTATCAATTTTATACAATGACGAATTAAACTTTGTATGTGATTACACATGCCTTTCATTAACTTAATTTACTATATTCATTAAAAGAAGAAGCTGTCATTGTTATCCAAACAATTTAAAACCATTTTCCCCTAAAAATAAAAAGTAAAAAATGTGATTATAATTCATGAAAGTGAGATATTTGGATATAACTTGTTCAAATTATACAAAGATCTGTCCAATGAGCTGTGGAATAATAGACTTAAATCCTCTATAGGGATCCATGACAGATGTTAATATAA